ATTAGTTTCACTCTCTGAGAGTTGTGGTTGAATTTCTTGATGGATAAACGAAGGTGATAATTTGGGCATTTTCTAGGGTAAATTTTGAACAGAGTTGGGTTTAATTGCTGACATAGTGGGGATATTTTATGCTATTATTTGAATTTTTGACCGGTTGATTAATTTTTCCCTATAACTCGCCAGTGGTACTGGTTGATTAATTTTAAAGTTTAAGTTCTTGCGGTTGTGTTGCTGCCATTGAATTTAATTCTTTCCTGTCTGTGCACCAGTGGTACTGGTTGCAGTGTTGCTTTCCATTTCTTAATCCTCTGTGCTGGCCTGCCTATTTGATTCTTGAGTTTTGGTGCCTGAACTGTTCTCGAATTCTAACCATTGGTTGTTGCCATTGCCTGTTGCTTGGCCCAATTGCTAAGTTTTGATCGTTTGAGTTGGGTACTTGACTGTCCAGTTGGAGATAGTTGTTGAAATTTTGGGTGGATTTGTGTCCAATTGCTGAAATTTGTTGCTTGGTTTAGTCACTCACACTGCTCCTAGTTTGTTCGAGTGAAATTGGTTGGACGTTCCTTGCCCGTGGAGTTTAATTGTTACATTGTTTGGGGTGATTTTCTAGTATTAATCGAATTGTTGGGCATTATTTGGGGTTTTGGCTGCTGGAGACCCCTATTGCACCCTTAGTTGAGTAATTTTCTGGGTTGGGTTGTTGAATTAGTATTGCCATTGGTTGACTCTAAGTACCTTGTTTGGGGAGTTTTCGGTTTTGTGATTTCCATTGCTAAGCTCATTGGAGCACTTGCAGAGATTTTGAGTTGCATTATTTATGCATTGACTAATATTCGGACCACCATTGCTTATTGTTTGTCATAACTTCTTTGTTGAGACTTTCGCCTAGTCCTTAGGTGCCTGAAGTTTCCATTTTGTTGATTGGGGTGGTCCTTTTTGTTACTTCATTATCTGTGCGAGGCACCAGTGGTACGGGTTGGGGTATTTTGACTGCATTTGTTCATTCTCCTTGGTTGGCTGCTTGATTGAAAGCTTAGAGCTTGTGACTAAGTTGTTATTGATTAAATTCTAACCTGCTATTACTGGACTTGCTGAATTTTAGGGGACATTTGTTGCGATTTTGGGTAGAATTGGATTCATTTGTTGAGATTTGTTGATTTATTTAGACTCTATTACCGCTTCTAGTCTGTTTGATCGCCATATTCGTTGGAATTGACTTTGTTCAAGCACATTGTTGGACGTCCTCGGCCATTGATTGAAACTGCTGCATTGTCTGGAAATTTGCTGGTTTGATGTTCTCTGTTGCACTCTAGTTCGCCTGGATCAAGACGCATGTCGGAGCTCTCCTTCCCTCTACAATCGTTCACTGCCGCGCACTACCGTAGCACCATTTTCACTCCACCGTTCCGACCTATTTCATAGCCGCTCGAGACCTTCCATCACGTATTCAGGGAAGTGTAGTTGTCCTATTCGCTTTCTTTACTTTATGATCTCCATTGAGGACAATGTCGGATTTAGGTGTGGGGGTGAGAGCTGTGGTACAGCTGGTATTTCTGGTGTTCAGCTTTTAATTTTTTTCTTTTCCTTTATTTTCGTTGTTATTTGTTCTATTTTTCGTTTATTTCCTTTTCTTTCTTTTTAGTGGTCAGCTCTTCTATGACTACCAAGTTTTGATGCTGGATTGTTGCCTCTAATTTTGCTATTGCCAAGTTTTATTAATAAAAGGGTATGAAGTTAATATGGTTGAGTTCAGGGACATCGCTTTGATGAATATCAGTAATTGCTTAACTTTTCCAATTTTTGGTTAACTTTTCTAGGCATAAAGAATGATTGTTGGCATTTTTCTTGTGAAGTGGTCCAATTATTAATTTTAGTTCTCCATCTTTGGAAATTTGAGGCTGGCTGCTGTTATTTTTATGTTATTTTTAGTTATTGTGCTATATGGTTATAAATAAGAGTTGACTGTACTCCGTTAGTGATTACTACTGAGTAACCGGGAATTTTCACCTAAAGTGTCGATTTTCGCATCAAAAGGTAGTAGTTGCTATGAGTGCGTGGTCCCGTAGCGATTGGAGCTGAGTAACCGGGCTCCTCCATCTGTCAAATGTTGGAGTTCGCGTCAAAAGGCTCTAAGGGCTATAGACTAAGTCTTTTGTCACTGGTAAAAAAAAATAAATAAATAAAATAAAATAAAGATTGTGTTAGTATGTGAATAAGTCAGCTTGCCGGTTTGTGATCTTCATGTCGAGATTTTGGTTAATAGTTGGACCATTTGCTGATAAATATGAGCAACCATTCCTTTTTCTTAGATTAGTTTGCTTTAAATTGGAGGAGTTGGTGGTTGAGAAGCTAACCGGAGTGATTTTTCTTGGATCTTAACTGTGATACTTGATATATATTTTTCTGGGTATCTTGGCAATATGATAGTTAGAGCAAAAGTCATTGTCAAATTTTGGTGTTCAATTGCTGTTCTTATGCTTGAGGGCAAGCATGATTTAGGTGTGGGGGGAATTGATAGGGTGTTAATTGTTGGTTATTTTATTGTTAATTTTCCCATTTATCCTTGCCAAATATTGTTTTAATTATTTATATTTACTTATATTTGATATTGGACTCAATTTCAGGAAGTGAAACAGAAAATTACCAAAAAGGAGGGACTTGCTCCATAAGTGGGAGACTTAAGAAGAAAGTCCCATGGACTTGGCCCACAAGAGGAGACGGATTGCCTTGGTCTTTGCTCCTGACTGACTAGTAGCCGCGGACCAAGAGTCCTAAAACATCAACGGAGCTTTCTTCTTGTATTTCTTTTAGCTTCCCAATTTCGGTGGGGACCACGAGAGGAGAAAAGGCTTTTTCTTCATTTGGCCTTTAAGAGAAGTAACGTACAGAGATGGGAAACAAGAAGCAATTCGGCAGGACCCATCTTGTGGATTTGGTTTTCTCTCAATTCGGCAGAGTTTCCTTCTTGGACTTTGACTCTCAATTCGGCGGGATCCACGCACTAGGTGAGGCATTAGTCCTCTTTGGCTTTAAAAAGAAGTACACGTATGGAGATGAGGGGATGAATACTTTTTATCTTTAGTTCTTATCGAACCTTTAGGATAGTTTTAGTTTTTCATTTCTTTCTTGGCTCTTTTGATGGCCTGGACCTCAGTGGAATTACTTGAAGATTTTCTCATGAGGCGTGGCTAAGTTTGTCTAGTCAAGAACAACAGAGGATTTGGTTCTACTAAATTTGTGAGATCGAATTAGTTTTTATTTATTTCCATTATTCACTGGTATTTGTCTATCTTCTACTTTATGTTCATATGGTTGTTTTATTATTCGATTATCCAGGGCCCGGATTCTAGATTAATTCAATAACCTGAAGCCAATTAGGGTAGTTAAATCCGTAATTGTTTAATTATTCTAAACTGGTGGCAACTGGCATGATTGGATTTGTGTCAGGGAGATAGACAAGCTAACTTAAAGAGACCCTCGTAGCGTGTTGATTGGTTAGAATTAGGCTCTTCTAATTATTCATGCAATTAGGAAATTAAACTTCTATGGTTGTACCTAGGGTTGTTTCCTGATTAGAGAAATAGTCAACGGTCGTACCTTGGCTATCGACAAATTGAGGAAAAGTTGGTTGTTTATCGCGTGTATGACAACTATAACTAATTTATCAGAAAGTAACTGAAATAATCCTTGTATCTGTGATCGAAATAAGTGAACCATCTCCGAAGTTGTCTCTTGGCTAGAGTTCGTCAATTATTATTTTTATTGTAATAATTAGTTATTTGAGTTGTAGTTATTTTATTTTATTTTAATTTATTCCAAGTAATTTAGTTACTCTCATTTTCAAAAATCCCCCATACTTCGGACTCTAAAAAAAATAAATTATCCCCAGTCCCTGTGGATTCGACCCTGATTATCACTATCTACAGAAAGTATATTTTGTTTGAGCAGGTATTTATTATTGCACAGGTTCGGCACCTGTCAAATACGGAAGCTTAATTGCAATGTGTTGCTGAGTTGATGATTGGAGAAACAACACAGCATCTTGATTGCACTTTCTTCCCAACTATGAACAAAAGACTAAGATTTGTAGCTTTTATTGGTCAACCAGAATCGCTAAAAAAGTTTCTGTCTGGACTTCCGAAGATGGAAGTTCTAATAAAGAGAATTAAATTTTAAGATCAAGGGTTTAAACTAACTAATTTTAATTTAAGGTTGTCTGGGGAGTAAAAAGTGCTGTTAGGTGTTTTACAAGCTTAAAGTGATAGATGTAGAAATCTCACTTTTTTTTTTTCTTTTGGGGTCAAAAGTCATCCTTTTATATATGCCGTAACCTTGATAAATACAGAATCATACACAAACTAACTGGCAACTGCGAGGAATCACGTATTTGCCAGAAGGAGCAATAAGTTGCTTTTTATTTGCAAATGTAAGTTGTTGGAGCAAAGGCAGCAGAAACTGTAGAAAGGACTTGTTAAAACCTTTCTCCTTCACATTTTGCAGAACTTGTACTTTTGTCCAACTAAAGTTTTGCCCTTCAAACACAATCATCTTTCAAGTTTCCTTTATTCCATTCATTTGTAAACTTAACTTTATAATTGGGACCAATGAAACTGTAACCAATGAGCGACTTTGCAAATTTGCATTGTCCAAAAGGCTCACATTTGTCAAATCAATGGCGTAGAGACTGGGACGTTTCTGCTAGTCTTATCCACCACTTCTCTACATCCCACTTCACTGACCTCAGTCAATAGTGGAATGTGTAGAAGTTAGATATACAAATGATGGAGGTAATTAAAATGTTGCATAAAATAGATGTAATGTAATAGGACTTGGGGCACAACGGTTGTCATGTCAATCATTTGTACCGATTTTTATCCAATTTCATAAGATGTAATTCACTTTTTTCACGATGTAACTAACTTTTAACAAAATTATGTCAATTTTTGTCCAATTTCACAAGATATTTTTTTCGTAATGTAACTCACTTTTTTCAAAAAATAACTATAGAACAAATTATCGTGGATCCTATACATGGCATTGAAAACACTATATACGTAGTAATCTATCCCTTACATTCTGTTTTCGTAACGTAGTGACCTATACAAACGCGCTTGGAGTTCCTCTATCGGACTCAAGATAGCAAAGCCAGCGAATGCCTTCGAGATAGTACAACTTCATTTTTCTGGACTATACAATGAAACAATCAACGCCTTCATCGGCCGTCTTCTGCAGAGATAGTCATCTCGTTGATGGAGATTGTTTCTGCCTTACTAGACAAAGATGCAGATGTACTAGAAGTGCGTCTTCTTCCTACAAAAGCTGGTTGATTCGGACTTGGAAGAGTAGTTGTTTCGCTACTGAGCATAATAAGAACATTAGACATGGTGGGACGATCACTGGGATCATCTTGTACACATAAGAGACCAATGTTTATGCTCTTCATGACTTCTGTTCCATTGCATGATTCCAGTAACTTCTTGTCTACTAAATCCAATGCTTTCCTTTCTTGCCACAATCTCCAAGCCTGAAAGAGTTTTAAAATAAACACCTCATGTCAAACCAAAACTTTCAAAATCTCAGTAGAGATGCAAGATTTGAGAAATGCATACACTCACATAGCCTAAAAGACTCAAGACTTCTTCAGACCGATAAAATCCGGAAGTGTTTCTCTTACCACTAACAATCTCAAGTATAATTACTCCAAAACTAAATACATCTGACTTCACTGAGAATAAACCTTCGATTGCATACTCTGGAGACATATAGCCACTGCATCACGAGCAATCATGAGAACAGCAATAACCTAACAATAAATTTCATGAGACAGGCTGAGAAACGCAAGGAACTTACTAGGTTCCAACTACTTTTATTGTATTTGCTTCTGTTTCTTTGCCTTGAACTATTCTTGCCAAGCCAAAATCTGAAATTTTGGGATTCATCTCTTCATCTAATAGAATGTTGCTTGTTTTCAAATCTCTGTGAATTATCCTCAACCTTGAATCCTGGTGAAGATAAAGAAGTCCCCGTGCTATTCCCAGAATGATGTTGAATCTCATGTTCCAGTCCAATAAGATGCAGCGTCCTTCATCTTTACAAAGTGGTAAAACAATTTAGGGGATAGTCTAGCAATAAAAGGGCGGTATCTAAAATTACATTTGGTTGGACTTGATGACTCCAAAAGGAAGGAAGTTACGTAGTCGACTTGAACTAAATGGAAACGAAGTCAAACAAAAGCTTCGAACACTAACCAAATATAAAGGTGTCTAAGCTTTTATTTGGCATGTATTCATACAGAAGAATTTTTTCAGGTCCCTTGATGCAGTAGCCCAAGAGTCTAACTAGGTTCCGATGTTGTAGTTTAGCAATCAACACAACTTCATTTCGAAATTCCTCCATGCCTTGACCAGAGTGGCTTGACAACCTCTTTACTGCAATTTCTTTTTCTTCAGGGAAGATTCCCTGCAAGAGTTACCAATTGAAGCTAGTGTTTGATGGAGCACAGGCTAGTAGAAATTGGAGTGATAACACGCACAAGATGTATAGTTACCTTGTAAACTGGGCCAAATCCTCCTCTTCCAAGTTTATTTGTGTCTGAGAAGTTATTTGTAGCAGCTAGTATGCTTTCCAGACTGAAATAGGGTACATCGATGAATTTATCATCCTCATCAACCATTTCTGCAGCTTGTCTTTCACTGTCGTCCAAGTAAGGCATGGGATTCCCTGGAATGCTTTTTTCAGTCTCTGACAGGGACAAAAGTTAAGCACAAGTTAGATTTATATCTACCTTGGAAAATGTTTGAACCAGAGTGCAAAAAATGGTTGCGTAATTAGGGTCGTTTGCCACATTGACACCTTTTCTTTTTGCTATGATCCTCCTGTAAAAGGAGCAGGTTAAGGTGCCAGCAAGTAAAACTACAGCAATCACTGTGGTAACAATAATCACAGTGACACGATTCCCTGATATTGGTGGATTTTCACGTTTTGAGCTTGTCCCTTCTGCTAAACAGAACAAAGTAATGCAAAAAACTTTACCTCCAATAGATCGTATGTTGATGCAATATGTTAAAGAATTATGTCAAGGAAAGGGTTACCTATAGCAGAAACTGGTACACGAATTGAGAGATTGTGGCCACCATCAACATACTCCTGTAAATTAGTAAGTTCAGAAGTCCAAATCAAGCAACTAGATCCATCACCCATGGTTCAAAGTCGTGGTCGCGGTCACGGTCGCGGCCCGGAACGTTCCACATCGGTCTCGGCATATCGGTCGCGGTCTCGGTGAGACGCAAATTTTAAAGTATTTAATATTCTAAAAATTGTTAATAATATAAAAAAAGTATGTTAAACAAAAATAATAAAAAATAGCAAAAGAAATGGCCGAGTCAATCCGTCACGGTGTAACTCGGCTAATTTCTCGTCTTGACTCGAGATAACTCGGAGTGACTCGGTGTGACTCGGCCGAGTCAATCCGTCGCGGTGACGTCTCGGCCGATTTCTCGGCGAGTCAAGTATTTCGGTATCGTTTCGTCACGGTATCGTATCGGTAGGGGCCGAGACGGTGACGACTCGGCCGAGTCGTCTCGGTCTCGGCCGAGACTTCGAACCATGCCATCACCATTATTTCGACTTCGATTGTCAAATCCAGCATAATAGTATGCCTGGCATGCACAACCGCTGAGACAGTACTCCTGTCTGCACGTATCCTCCCTGTCCGCAGCATATAGGATGTCCGGTTTCCTCACTTTCATCAACTTCAAATTCAAGAATGTGTCTGGTTTGGAGGGCATATTGCATATATCCAACTTCCTTTCACAACCGCCACTAAAATCTCCAGTTTTCCAAGCATCAGGAAAGACGGGCTTGAATCCTGGCAGAATATCACAATTCAAACCCCCACTTTTGAGATTACAGCTACCATAATTACCACAAGGGTTATAGACACTACACGCATCATGGGGCTCCTTCCACATCAATGACCATCCATCCTGTTCCCAACGGTAAAATTGTATCTCTCCAGAGGAATTCATCAATAACCTAGTATTTGCATAAGATTCTAGTTCATCCGAGTAGTTTAAGCTAGTATTTGCTGAACCAGGATTTTTTGAAGAATATGCACTGGAAGATTTATAAGTAGCCTGATCAACACTACGGCTAAAATTCGATAAGAAGAAGGCCACAAAGTAAGGCAGTTCAACGGAACCTGATTGATCACTTTTCCAGTGCGGTGCTGTTTTTCCCTTCATGATCTTGGGCAGCCTATTTTCTTGATCTTGCTCAAATGTGAAGCTCCCAGTTGCAGGATTGCCAATATCCATCCAGGAAACCAACTTCAAACCTCCATCCATCGTCATGCCAGGAAGAAAAGTATCAGTTGGTTCGGCAAAGCTTTGCCATAGGATATTTCCTGAGCTCCCATCAATCAGTACCAAATTCCCAGAATCCAGCAGCTTCAGGATCCTGTTAACAGGACTAGATCTTTCAAGCGTAGTATTGAAATATGAAGTTCCCATCTTATCCACCAACTTGAGATTGCCATCTTCACCTATGGAAAAGTTTCCAGGTACATATGGTAACGGTGCATCTCTGTTGGCAACCCATACAACTGTTCTTGGACTCAAGTTGTAATACCATATGCCTACGTATCTTCCAGTATTAATGTTATCTTCAGGATCGAAGAAGCCCAGTTCAAATCCTTTCCCAGCGGATATAATAGTTGTGCCATCATCTGGCAATAAACTGTTAGAAGTGATGGTGTCTCTTGCCACACATGATTGGAAGTTGCTAGTCTCCAGTACTACAAGTAACAAGAAACTCAGAGAGATGCCGGCAGGTTGCATATGGTTTTGCAGATTAACAAGTGTTGGCCGTTTAATGGACTAAACAGAAAATTAATCTCTCTGAACAACGGAGGAATTGCTGTTTTGATGGGACCATGTTATGCAGGCAACGTGAGATATATGGAGAGTTGGAGACCAGTATGCGCTGAATCTTCAATAAGTTTATTGAGCGATTATTCTAACTTTCAAATCAGGACGAGTATGACAGCATTTGTAAGGTTGGTGAAACCATAAATCTGTGCAGTTCTCAAATTTGTAGAGCCAAAAGTAAATTGGGTTCACAAAATAGAACTGTCTTCTATATTGTTAAATTCATCACCATTCTCAGGACAAAAAATCTCAATAACTATTAAACTACTATTCGTATTGATTTTTGACTATCAAGCAATTTTTCATCATAAATTAACCACTAAACTAACTAATTATCACACTCATGGCCATTTCATCAATTACTGCTCTTAATCCACAAAATAATTTTGACAAAAAATACTCGTAATGGACAAATATATCCTTGCATTTTAACATATGTTCTGATTATTTTATAGATTAAGAGCAATAATCGATAAAGTAACCATGGATGTACTTATTAATTAATTTAAGTGACTAATTTATAATGAAAAATTGTTTACTAGGGACAAGTGTTTTGCCCCCATTCTTAAAATTTTAGTGGAATACCCGGTGTTGCAATTCCCAAATCCTAATAACCCTCGATAGAATTACTTTTTACATTTGGTTAAAGTACTCGATAATACATTGGGTAGCAACAAAAAGTTAGGTGCAACCCACTTGCCAATTCACTTGTCAAAAGCCACTTACATTTTTTGTCAGAAAGCAGCTAGAAATTTACTAGGATTTAATTTGTGACCTTTTATATCAAGCCATCCATGGTCTTTCATGCACGTGATCTTTGCCATTCTTTGCCCACATTATTGGAGTACGGAACAAATAATTAGACGTGGTAAGAAGGAAAAGAATATTCTCCGAATGTATTGCATAATGCAAAGTCTTCTTCCTGCAATAGTTACCATTTCACAATTAATTTCTGTTCACGTCCAAAGTTGAAAGAGTGGAGATGGCATTGGGCATTATTAGAAATGGCAAATGGGGTAGATGGACAGGAACAAAAAGTCTATACTCCTCTTTATTCCTCATGCAACTATTTCTCAAAATAAATATTTTTTTTGTCGAATTTCGTTTTAGTCTTTACCTTGAATTATTGGACTCAAAAAATTAATAAATATATTAATTTGATAGGCCAATATAAGTTACTAAACAAGGTGCTTCTAATCACCAATTAAAAAAATTTTTTACCGTTATTATATATTTTTGGTGTTATACCAACTAGCTAGACTTATTTCTTTTTTTTTATTTTATTTTAGTCTCAATGTATTCTACTTATAGTATTAAGGGAAAACAATAGGGACAAACTAATATCTTCAAATAATTTACCCACATTAGCAACAATCAAAAGGGAAAAAAATTTCATCCCATTAAAAACTTGAGCGTCAAAGGGAGTCAACTCATGATATTCACTCATATGATGAAAAGCAGGTGAGAACATAATAGGTTATAGCATCTGTAAGCAACGGAAACGGGAAAAGCCTATTGCTACAACATAGAATGAGAGAAAACAGAGCCAAGGTTAAGACAATCAAAGATGATGGTGATGGCAGATAAAAAAAAAGAGAGAGAGAATTTTCTCATAAGGAAAAAAATTAGATTAAAGATATTAAAAGTAGGGGAAAAAAACCAATGAGGTAAAGAAATTGATGTGATGTGCCCTGAAAGTTTACTTGCATTAAATACATAATTTGAAATTGTGTTTATTTAGAAAAAAATTGTTTAGAAATAAAATTATTGGTTACAAAAATTCAATAGATTGGGTCTCACGGGACTCCCAAGTAATAACCAAGCATGCCCATTTTTTATTGAAAATTGTTGAGTTTAATTTCATTTAAGCCCAATCCCATGTATCATAAGTCCTGTTTGATAATCCAATTTAGCACTTGAACTTAATGGATTCAAATCTTAATATGTTTAGACGTGTTTGATAACCAAAAATTGAACATCTGAATTAATTAAGTGGCAGTGGCATTGAATTTTTTAGACAAAACTTGCTTCTAAAAATAAGTATAAGTATATACTACTTCAGCATTTGTGATCAAACTAAATATAGCGATTGTAAACATATGCAAGAGATTGAAGAAAAGGAATGGATTGAATTTTGCTTGCATAAGTTACTGGCAGCAAGATTTCTTTTTTTGCCTTCTAGTAGTCCTTGGGTTTTGATTTCAATAGTGGCAGAGCCAGAATATATGAAAGGAATGCAACTCGCAATATTGAATGTAAATATTGTGCAAGTCTTACGAAGAGCAGACATTAAATTTTTCTATAAGGCAAAAGTAAAGCAAGTGAAGTAATATATAGTAGTATTAGATCAAGATCTTAGAGGGACCAAGAGAAGGACTTCAATGCAAAAGTGGTAAAATTCCATAAGAATTAAGAGGAGCTGTTAAGATTTTTTTAAAATCCTTTTTGTAAGGAACTGAAGTGAGCCTCTTGCTGCATCTTTGGAGTTGGATCTTGATTTTGTAGGTTAAATTCTAAAGATTCGATAAATGAATGTCAATTGTAGCGATGAATACAGCGTGTATTGTGTCCAGTGTCCTGTTCCTTCTTGATCAATCAAACTGTTTATCTAATGGCAAATGTATATTGGGACTCACTCGACCAATTGTCACCTCTAGCATCACTCTTTTCTCCCTATCTCTAAAGCTGTAAGCAACTTTGTCTCTTGCTCCATTCCGAGTTAGGCTCATAATTATAAATATTATTTTGGATAAAATGCAGAAAAATTTCCTGTAGTTTCGCGAAAAGACAATTGGCTATTTTATGATTTTGAAATGTCCACATAAGTTCCTCGTGACACAGAATTAGACTTGCAACCTGAACATTGCCTACGAATTATGTATAATTTTTTTTCTTTCTAATATTCTTGTCCTTTTTTTTTCATTTTATCTTCCTTTTCTTTTTGGTGTTGAAATTTCCATATGGCTTTCTCTTTCTTTTGTTTTCACTTTGCCTAACACATCTTGGGTACTTCTAAAAATTTTAAATTTTTTAGAGTATTTTTAAAATTTTTAAAAATTATCCTCACCTTCCCACTCCTCCTTCCTCGCCGTCATCCCCCTTCACCACCGTCATTGCCGCCGCACCTCCACTATCCTCGCCACCTGTCACCCTTTCCTCCTCTTCCCCCTTCTCTTCTCTTCCCCACCTCGTTTCCTACATTACTAATGAGTACTCTTTTTCTGGTCCCCTCAAGCCAATTCTTGTTTTCACGTCTGGGATGTGATTTACTTGATGTAGCAGTGCTTATGAGTGTTAAAAGAACTAAGAGGAATAAAGCAGAAATGCGCCAGAAGTGTGCAAAGGTGCCAGCAGCTTGACGGTCTTGTTAATTGACAATGAAATTAGACTACAATAGAACCACTGCTCACTGGATAGAAAGTCATATATGTGTCCAATTAGAAAGGCACACATCTCACACCTGATCTGCAAGTATTTAGACCGGGTGGTGGAAATCACTCTCCAATTCATCATGTGATCCGAAGGAAAACCGGCCTCACAAGTTCCATTTCACTTCAGTTGATGTAAATTAATAATTTATTCTCAATATATTTACACTAAATTGCTTTGACTTTATATTAAATGATAATAATTAGCTTATACCAATATGTACCTAATTTATTCCAAATAATAATAAATCAGCGTACACTAAAGTACACCCGATTTACATCAAATCAAACCTAATTCATACAGAAATTCTATTGATTTATACAAAAAAATCAACTTATGTGAAATTATACGAAATACAAATTATGAGGCTCAGGATAGGTGGACAGATTCAGACGGCCATTTCCTAGGCGTCGAGGATCTGCAGCTTTCTTGTATTTGAGGGCCCTGTGGTAACAGTCACCATTTCGGGAATTGGACTGATCTCTGCACGAAGCAAGACGAAGAATGAGGAGAAGGTGTCAGTCACCTGCTGCAGTATTAAATACTCAACAAAAGTTTTGGTTGCTAAGGTATAAAAGCAAAATCTTGCACTTGCTTGTGATTAACTTGATAATCTTGCTTCTTATTTGCTTGCTTGAATAACCCATAAAAGTACGAGACCTTTCTCTCAGATATATCCTCCCACAATCAATTTAGTGAAAGAAATAAGTGGGAATGATGACATTTTGACAAAAAAAAAAAAAAAAAAACAAGTGGGGAGAATTTTTTTAATAACAAATGAAGGAAGGAGAAGAAGTATTTATACTTGCCTATTTTTTCAAAAAAAAAAAAAATTTCACTTGCATTATAAATATAATTTTTAATAAAAAATATTAAAATAATTATTTAAAATAATATCCTATCCAAAGTTCCAAACAAAGCGTGTAACTACAGTGCTTCATGCATAGTTGCGACCTAAGACCTCAGATGAGGTATACGATTGTGACATTTGCTCAATTCGTCAACGTTCTCAACTTTTTATTAAAGATGTGATCTTGCAATTGACCATGACCTCGAGAGAATAGTCTTTGCACAGCTGACTGGGAATTAGTGGCAGTCAATTTGCCACATGACCTTAAAAGTCAAGGTCTTTGATCCACAGGTGCTCTTTACTTTCCTTTGTCCACATTAAGGCAGCTGGCAATAAATATGATATTTTGTGATAATTCCTAGTACTATCTTTTTACCCAAATATTTGGTGCAAGCGAGTACTAGAAAAATGCTTAAATTGGATACAGGAAAAGAACAGAAAAAAACAAAAAGATTTTCTTCTTGAGGATAGTAATTATTAAGTGTCCTTCCTGTAAGTACTAATTATTTAGTTGTTAAGGTTATAGAATTATTATAATTTGATGTTATATTAGCCAGGAAGTAGTAAAAGTAAACGTATTGTTTCCGCATTTCTGATCAAATTAGATGTAACAATTATAAATATATGACAGAGTTTAACAAAAAGAATTCGCTGAATTTTTTACTGGTACCAATTTCTTTTTTTGCCTGCTAGTAGTACTAGGCTTTTTTTTTTTTTTTTCAATCCTTCCACCTCGTCTCACACTCTTCTCGCTTTAGAGCCTAACAGCGGAGAAGACATTAACAAGTAAGAACCCTCCCCTGGAGAATCTTCATTTTTAGCCAGCCAAAAAAAAAAACATGGATTGATAATTGTGTAAATTGACTAACTTCAAATCATGGATTCAT